AAGATCCTCTCCCTAGCCCCGAATAAGTTTACTGTTCTCCGTGACTTTGGACTGCTCAGGGCTCCTAGCTGTTGTTCCAATGACCTTGGATCCTGTGAGGAAGGATTTGGGCTTCTCCATCCCATGTGGGGGATCCCTATGGGGGTGGTTGACCTCAGAGTTCTTGGCCTCTGAAGGCACTCCAATTCCCCGTGGTCTCCTTGGCAGTTGGGATTAGGCCTTAGTGCCCATACTGATGGTCTTTGGTGAGGATCTGTGAGTCTCAGGGTTTGGATACAAGCCTCCTCCTGTCCACCGGCTCCACTCTGGGGTCTTCCACCTGCTTTGTGCACATGACCTCCAGCTTATCAGAACTGTTTTAAAGGCTGAGTCTGTACAGAAGGTCATTTGTTTTCTCTGCTATTGACTAGTGGATGCTTAAAATTTCCTAGCATTTTCTGATTTTACTCTAATACAGAGTCCATTTCCTCCCTCAGTTTTTGGCAAAGCCAGATCACTGAGGCAGACCCATTTTTCTCTTTATATAAGTTTTCTTGACTTGACAGGCAATTGGGCTTATAGCTGGTGAACACTGACCTTACTTTCTCTGCTGTAGAACTGAATAGAATGTACAGTGTCCTTAGGAACCTTGCCAGGGAGGGGAACAAAACAGAATATACAATTTAGTGATTTCTCTGTACCTGACATAATATCGTCATAATATATTTCTTTTTGATAACATTAGTGTCAAAATTGATATTAGCCAGAAGCACCTTCTGAATTACTTAAGCATCTGCTCTGTTTATCTTTTCCTTACAAGTAATTCCAGAGGTAAATCAGAGGTATTGTAACAGTTCAAACATTAAGGTTCCTATAATCATATACTGTGCAAACTTAGAAACTTTATCCTGTTGTTCCCCAACGCTGCAATCATTTTCTGACCTTTTCTTGCAGCCACACAAGGGCTGATAAAATCACAGTGACCTTTTCTTTGTCATGCTACTGACCACAATTATGCTTACTCTAAGCTCTGCATAGAATCTTCCATTTCCTGTGGGACGGGGAACTGCATAGAAAGAACACTTGAAAAGATAGGCAGAAATATTACACACACACACACAATCAAGGCTGTCAAGATTACTCAATGAGCTAATCCCCCCCAACTGCAAATTCCATCTGGACTGTAGTGATGTTCCAGCTGCTCCATTTCCCAGCTAGCTCCCTGCTTACAACTTGGAAAGACAGCCTGGGATGCTCCAAAGCTTTGGAACTGTACACGCATGTGAGACCTGAGGAAGCTCCTGGCTCCTGGCTTCAGCTGGGCTGGCCTCTGGCCATTGTGCCCATTTGGGCTGTGACCCAGCTGATGGAAGATCTTTCTCTCTTCAAGTACTCAAACCAAGTCAGACTCAATGCTTGGGGCCCTGGCCACAGCCACCACTGCCACACGGGGATCAAGTCCTGGGTTTGCCTGGGCAGCCAGCGACCCTATTGGTGCCATGCTCTGCTTGCTGTCCAGCCAGCAGCAAGCTCTGGGGTGTTTGGGGTGTGGAATTGCTGCCTAGGGATGTCCATGAAAGAAGCCTTTGTGTGTGTTGGTGAAGAGTCAATCCTGAGAGACTGCAAACAACAAGGTCACATTACTTGAAGGTGAGAGAGAGGGACTAAAAACTGGTGGTTTGGATGGGAGAGGTTGGACGAACTGTATGGGTCAGATTGATACACCAGCTGTTATGTGAGTAATATGATGAAAAACCATTAGGCTTGCACTTGACATTCCTAACCTCACTCCTGGCTATTTTATTTCCTGATCTTAATAAATACTTAAATACAATTAATTTTTCTTAAGTTAAAAGAAAATAAAACCAATATCAGGACCCTCAGCTTTTAAAGATAAACAAAAAGGATTATATTATCACTTATTAAATGTTTGGAACTTGATATGAGTCTATGTTAAGAAATAACATTTACTTTTTATTTCATTTCTCCAAAAAGATTTTGAAGTTTTCTCCATGTGAGAGTGTTTATCTTCTTTCCAAATGAATAAGAGACATTTCATATAACTAGTCTCTGGTAAGGTCATACATGAAATGCCAAAAATATCTAAAATATTTATATGTGAAAAGTCTGATTGAAGAAAAATAAAATTAGAAGACCATTGAGTAGAAGCAAAAACAGTGTGATTTGTCAAATTAATAATGAAGGATTTCACAATTGGATTTGTAATACATATTCATTTATTTTATTTGGTAAAAATCAACAGGTACCATTTATCTGTTCACTCAAGTTGGTTTGACAAATTCCTGGGAGGAGAGAAGATGGTTGATAAGCACACATAGAGCCAAAAGAACAGATGTTAAAATTGAGATAGCTTAGATTGCAACCAAACTGTGTATCATTTTAATCATGCATTTGAGCTTCAGAAAGTAACCACAAGAGGGTGTGCAAACCTAAAGAGACATTTCTGTGCTCATGTTTGCAGAGTTCTGTGTGTCACCATTTAGAAGAACTTCATTTTCAGAATATCTGTTTTATTTGATATATTCAATGTGATTCCAAAAGACTTGCATTGGTGAAAGATGCAAAATGTTGAATATTACTACCTGCTCTACCAAGGTTCTTTTTTTTTTTTTCTGTCTGTAGAAATCAAACTTAGTTTTGTTATGTTGAGTCCAGGCTTTGCACATGTTTCTTCTTTGACAGTTCATTGAGTGTTGAGCTTCATCAGCAGAGCACAATCGAGTGACCTTGCAAGGTGCTGGAGCAGGAAGACACATCTTTGCTAAGGCTCCTCTCTGAATCTGGCCTCATTGTTGAATTTACTAACAGTATTTTAAATAATATACTTGATGGTATTAAATGATAGGCTTAAATGATATATAATGAAGACCTAGGGTTGGCATATTTGTGTTATTATCTTTTATTAAACATTACATGCTACTAGAAATTAAATAGCAAATCTCCTAGCTATACAATCAGTCTCTGAAACAGATCACTTAAGAGTCATCCATTTGCAAGATGAATTTCACCAATATTTGACTCTTGTCTCTAACTTCTGTGGAGTTGTGTGTTCATGACTTATGTAGTATATTTGATATAAACAAAGACTATTAACAAGATAAAAAGATGAAAATATTACCTTAAAACTGTCCCTTTATGTGATCATTTAGAATTTCTGTTTAAATATGTATAAAATACATTGTTTATTTTTATTTGAGAGTGTGTGTTTGTGAGAAAAGAGAGAGAAATAATGGATTGTCCAATCACTGGTTAACTTTCCAGATTCGGCCAACAACAGAGCTGGATCAAGTTAAGGAAGAAGTGAGTAAGTCTGTGAGTCATCCACATACGTGTCAGCATCCCATACTCTGGGATCGTCATCTGTTGCCTTGCAGGTACATTAACAAGGAGCTGAATTGTAGGAAAGGGCACAACTCAAGCCCAGACACTCCAGTAGAGGGTGTGGACATCCCAAGTGGTGGTCTACTCCAATCATCACAGCATCTATTTGTGTTTCTCTCTAATATTTTTGATTGCTGAACTGTTTAAAATGTGCAAAAATACTGCAAGAAGCAAATGCACAAATTTAATATAATAGCATTTTGTTTATTCTCTGCCAAGTTAACATTTGTTATCAACTGTGTGTTTAAGTAACGCTCCATGTAAAAGCTTTCTCAAGATGAACGCAAACGAAAGAAATCCTTGTCTCCAACTTTGAGTATACATAGAGATATTATATACTCAGTATGGATTAATAACTGTAGAGAAAATATGACATGTGATTACTTAGTTTCCACAAGCTATTCAACTTAAAAAAAAATAGGCCAGGTTTTGTCTTTCTGAGTGCATTTAGAGCTCTATTCCTGCCTTGCTCTAATGAATGGCACAGTTCCTCTCCCTTAAGGAAAAGTTTGTGTAAAGAACACTAGCATACTATATTTTTCCTTTTATATACTTCACTGTGTGTTGTAAGTTTACTTTCAAACTCCCTCGGTTATATTGGTTGTCTTTTCAAAGTTTAATAAAGCCAACTGTTATCTTTTTATTTGATGAGCATTTTTATCCTAATTATCACCATTAAAAGTTGTTGCCAAAATACTTTCATATGCAAAAAAGTATTCTCAAAATTTGTTTTTGTGCCTAAAATATCTGTCTGTAGATATCTGTCTTTCATTTGCTCATTGAAATCTATCTTCAATTATGCAAATATTTTAAAAAAAGATTTATTCATTTATTTTATTGGAAAGGCAAATGTACAGAGAGGAGGAGAAACAGAGAGGAAGATCTTCTGTCTGATGATTCACTCTCCAAGGGGTCGCAATGGCGGGTGCTGCACTGGTCAGAAGCCAGGAGTCAGGAACTTCTTTCCAGGTCTGTCACATAAATGCAGGCTCCCAAGGCTTTGGGCCATCCTCCACTACTTTCCCAGGCCACAAGCAGGGAGCTGGGTGGGAAGTGGGGCTGCCAGGATTAGAACTGGTGCCCATATGGGATCCCGGCACATTCAAGGTGAAGAGCTTAACCATTACATTATCATGCCGGGCCCCAATTATACAAATATTTTTGCTTAGCTTTATAATCTGTTTTCTACAAACAAAGCCTCTGATTACTATCTCAGTGCAAGAGGTAGAGAATTTTTAAAGCCATTTAACACTTTATTTGACATAGACTTCTAAGTATGTTCAATTTGTTCATTGATTCCATTTACTATGTCATTGTGAAGAAAGAATACATAGAGTATTTTAAAGTTTTGATTTTTGTATTTTACGTATTGCAGATGTTTCTCAGAAATGTATGACTTGAAAAAGCATGGCTAACAAATGAGAGAGCTTAAGGCAGGAGAAGGAAAATATTCAAACATTATTATCCATAGACTCAGACTACATTTATGGTGCGCTAGTCATCATTTTCAACTATTAGGGAGCAGTATCTCTTTACATTGTGCCATACTGTTTGCTCATTTAGGTGAAAATTGGACTCTATTCATGCACTCATGTGGACAATATCTCATATTTCTTTCCAAATATTTTATTGTGCCACACGGATTTCAGCAAGACACAAACTACAACCTTGAAAAAATTTTAATACAAAAATATCATGGTTATGCATCTTGTATTTCATGATTCAGGTGAACTGTAATCTCCCTATAAGACTAGGACATACCTATTACTGTGATAAGAGACTTCCCCAAGTGTAGCCTGTTTTCCAACTGCTTGGATTATGGCAGTAAGTGAGCTCAGGATCCATGCTTTGTCTTCGCTCAAGAAAATACAATGATACCAATAGGCAAAATGTATTCTGTTTTACCAACCCACTCAGACCAATTTTTTATTGACATAAAGTTGAATGAAATCTTTCTTTCATTATCCAATGCTCATTATTTATTTCTTTAAAAATACCATCCACTTCTGTTGTAGCTATTATCAAGATCAGGATATAGATTGTTATATTTTACATACTGTAGTGATCTGAAAAAATTATCTTATACACTTTCACAAGGTTCTGACTGCTCTTTCTGAAGAGGACACATGTTTTTCACACGATTGTATTTGGTCAAATACAGTGTATTTATGAATATGTACACAAAATTTCAGGTATTTTCTTGTTCTCTGATAGCCTGAGTTTTCAGTGGGTCTTGTTTCGTATTTTGTTTTACAGAATTATACTAGTGTGACTCAGTCAACATTAAAGAATAAATGCTTGAATTGAAGATTATTGCAATTAGACTTATATATTCCTTCATGTTTAGTTAAAACAAATTGAGGAATAAATCAAGAAGGCACACTTCCCATAGAACATGCAGGAAAAAAACTTGCCACATCTTGATCTCTAGAGCATGAATTAAACTCAAGTATCATCTGTCAGACACTTGCAGTGTGAAAGAACTTTTAATCCCTCTTTTTCTTCTTTTCTGTCTTAACAAGCTTTTGATAAACAAACAGACAGATTTTTATGACCAGATAAGTAGGGATTGTCACACAGGCCAGCAGGAACCCAATCACATCCAGAGAGTGGTACTGGTACCAGGTGAGGTCGTGGGCTGCAACCCGCAGGTGTTTGGCTCCTTTGTGGCGCATGACATGCTCGATCCAGAAGACGGCTGTATCCAGGGGCTTCATGGGCTGATCGTGATGAATTCTCGATAACATCATGACATTCTCTTTATAGCTAGAGGGAAATCAAACAGATGACAAATTACAGACTGAAACATAAATATAGATGTGTGAAATTTTCATGCAGATGATAAAATGAGTGCTACATACATATGGAAGTTCAATTAATCTCTCTCACAATTATTAGAATAATCTTAACTGATAAGCTAACATTCATTAGATGAATAGAAATTCAGTGTGCAAGTAACCAATTTGTGGACGAAAGCGGGTGAGAACATACAGGTCTAGCATTGCATGCTAGATATTGCAGTCAGTTAATACTGAAGTTCAGAAAATAAAGCACAAAAATAAAAATGACAGCAACAACAACAACAAAAAACCTGTAGAACTTGAATTATTTTATTGGAATTATGAAGGAATCTCATTATAAGGTAAAAATCAATTTCAACTTTATGAACATGAAGACAGAGCCATTAAAAGTGGAGTTAAGTGGGCAAAGCAAATGATGTGTGTGTGTCAATTAGAATTGAGGTAATCATACTGTATCAGTGGATAAGTTATCAAATGAATCACATTGAATTGCTTTGTTTTGAACCGTGAAATCTGTCAGTCCTTCTTATGAGTTTCTCTGTTCCTAGTTGTTGGTCTCTAAACGAAATAGATAGTAATATTACCTTTCTAATTCTAGTGTTCAAAGCAAAAATGTATTGATTCTTAAAACGCTTTCAATTATTTTAGTATGTAGTAGAACAACAATAAAAGCTCTCTCAAAAATTCTCACATTTTACTTTGAAACCTTGCAATTTTAGAATAGTGCGGTTGCTTTTATTCATTATACACTTCCAAAATTTTATTAATATAAAGAGAACAGATTTTTGCATTTCATAGCTAAGTAAACACAAACCTCCTTCATTCCCTGGCCTCCTCATTCCCATCTTTCCTGTTATCCTTCAGAAGTATGACAAAGACATAATATTTATCAAAAGCATTGCAATTCTACTTATGCCTAGTCTTCAAATGTGAAGGATGCATATAGAATTATGATTTTACCAAATTTTAGCCAAAGTATGGGGAAAATTACCTTTTGTCCTATTTAGAAAGCACAGTACCCCAACTCAGAGATTTGTTCATGATATAATAAAAACTATAATGAAAAAGTTAAGTAATGCATGGAAAGAACTAATCCAATGCGAGTTACAGCACATGAATTCAACATGTGTCACCTACTTAAGAAATTCTTATGTTACTAATTTTGAAAAAACTATTGTTCATTATGATTCAATGCACTTTAGTTCAAATGAACAAATGAAAGGTATATTCCCAATCAAAAAGGAAAAACAAAGGTGGTTCTTATGTGGCTTTTTGATGAATGACAGCTGTAATAAAATGGAAGAGACCTGCATTCTAAAACTAATAAGCTTTATTGCTTGTCAACATTTCCAATCCAAATGTGTGGGTTTTTAAAGTTTGAATTCACATTGAAGCAAAAGGGGAAACATATAAGTTGTATCATTGAAGTCAAGAACCTAACAGTAAAATTTTACTAGAATTATTGTGTATATTGAAAATACTTACAAATAAATGATTTGTTACTTCTATAAGTGTCATTATTAGACAAGAAGGCTCAGTTTGAACATTTTTTTAAAAATATTTTAAGTTCTTCCAGAAAAGCAACAACCATATGAAATAAAAACCTGAATGCATTTGTAACTAGCCTTCTGTTTCAATAGAAGGGTAACTGGGTAAATTTAAAAGTTCCAGTTGTTAACCAATATGAATGACAAGACAAAAACATTAGAAAGGAATATTGGCAAAACAATAAATGTAATTCCAAGAACGAGTTGGTTACAGCATGTTGTTTTATGGAAAATAAACAATTTGAGACAAATCTAAACCAAAGATAACAATCAATATGAGGTCATGTCTATGTTAATGAGCATCACTCTAGGAATCTCTTTACTGTTTACATATAACCCATAAAATGTTGTGTCTCTGAACTGCACATGAACAATTACATCTTAAAATATGACATGAGTGCTCAGGCTTTAAGAAACCCATAGTGTGCTGAAAGTAGGTTAGCACTTTTATATGTTGATTGCTTGATTTAGTTGCATTCTTTTAGTCCTCTTGTGGTCATCTTCAGGGACACATCTCACTCAATTTATACACTGCTTCCCACTCTGTGCACTCTCCAGAGAACTCTACTGAAATCAATGAGAAATCATGGTAAAACTCAGAAGACGTAACTCACAGTTGCCTTCCAACCTTAAGGAAATCTGTGCTCAACATTTGTTCTTGCTTAGACTCAACTGCCACCCTCTTGGCCTTCATCTGATAACTTATGGGCAAATTCTGTCTAGTCTTAAGGAAAGTAATACTCACGAAGGATCATGAATGACTGTCTTCAAGGCATTGAGTAAATCTGCACTTGACATGGTTTTCCAGTTCAGTCTCACAGCTGCTCCCTTGGCTGTCATGTAGGCAATGTTATCAGGTTGGTCTCCAAACAAAGGAAGACCCACCATAGGGATGCCATGGTGGATTGCCTCATAGACACCATTGGCTCCACCATGAGTTACAAAAGCTCTGGTTTTTGGATGACCTAGGGTTGAGGAATTTTTAATAAAATTATTAAGCATGAATCTTAGAATGAAAAGGGGAAATTTACAGTATGAAATGATAAAGGGACAGAGCTGTCTGGTGGACAAATCACTGACAGACATAAATCTGCATGAAACTGCTTTCAGATCTAGAGAAATTGGCATGTAAATCCATTGAGAAAGTAAGTGAAGGCTACATGGAAGGGAAAGTGTGAGATTTATAATTTAACCAATGAATGCAAGTTCTATGAGTGAACATAAAGAAAAAAAATTCTGAATCAAATACATTTCATTCACAAAAGTTCAATCGGTGGACATAAAGAAAGATAAATCTGAATAAAATAAATATTATACACAAAAATAGAAGCTGAGTGCAAGTTACAATATTGTCTTTTTGAAATACAGTGCATTTAGGACCCAGAGCAGTGACTCCACACGCTAATATTCCGCCTACCAGTGCTGGCATCTCATGTGGGCAACAATAGTAGCCCTGGCTGCTCCACATCTGAGCCAGCATTCTGCATATAGCATGGGAAATCAACTCAAAATCACTCAAGTTCCTGGAAACCTGCATCCTTGTAGGAGACCAGGAAGAATCTCCTGTCTCCTGGCTTCAGGTAAACTCATTTCTCGCCATGTCAGAATTAAATCAGTGATTTGAAAATCCTCTCTTTCTCTGTAATATACATTTCAAATCAAAGCAAAAAAACAATTCACTAGGTCTTTAATTTGAGGTTTCCCACAAAGAAGGTTGTGTTACCCAAAATGATAGGCAACACTCCTTTTTAAATGTATTCACACATAAATATGCAGATTCATTTATTAAATAGAAGTTTATGGTTCTTCTATTGCTTTGGAAATCAATGATGTTAGAGGAAAGCATGGAAATAATGACTGAATTAGGAGACAGGCAATGCAGTGCATTATTGAGAGTTCTCTGTGGGACAAAACTACACTGGGGCCTGGTGTGATAGTGTAGTGGTTAAAGTCCTCAACTAGCACACGCGCTGGGATCCCATATGATCACTGATGCTAAACCGGTGATCCTATTTTCCTTCCAGCTCCCTGATTGTGACATGGGAAAGCAATTGAGAAGGGTCCAAATCCTTGGGACACTGCATCCATGCAGGACACCCAGAAGAGCTCCTGGCTCTTGGCTTTGGATTGGCTCATCTCCAGCCATTTCGCTCACTTGGGGAGTGAACCATCAGATGGAAGATCTTCCTCTCTGTCTCTCCTTCTCTTTGTATATCTAACTTTCCAATAAAAATAAATAAATCTTTTTTAAACACCCACTATATTGGAAGATATTTTGATTTCAGACATAAACAATGTATACATGTTTAAAAATATTCCATCTGTTATGAATTTTTATGTCTTCTGGGAATGCAAAGTGTATATATACGTCTTATGCTTTTCTCCATAATACATGGTCATTGTCATCCAATTTCCTATTGTGTTGTTATTATCTGCATTGACTATTACTCATGTTTTCAGCAGTATTTTTTTTAGCAAGGTCTTACCAAGAAGATCATTCTGAGGGATCCAATTATACATCTGAGTATTGGGCCCTAAAGTTTCTGGTTTCTTTCCATCAAATCTCCATAAAACCTGTTAAATAAAGAAAATATCTTATCCAAGGCTTAATTTAAAGAGAGCATATCACAAATCTAAAATGATTGGCATATCAACAACTAAATGTTCTCCATAGAAAAGATAAGGAAAGGATTAAGTGTGTTAATGGAACGCCCTTTCCTGTGCTGATATTTTATATTTGATCAGATGTTAAATCTAATAATTTTCCATAGAAAGAGCCTTAGTGAGTGAGCTCATAGGTAACAACTTCAGCTGTTTAATTCTCATGCAAAAAATGACACATTAGCAGTGAACTATTAATTTTTCAAATATGTATGTTTTGATGTTAGCATTATCTTTTAAATTTAATACTAAAAGTTTCCTTTTAAAAACTAAAATGAATTATATTCACATTTCCATAATTTCATTAGGATTTGACATCTTTTAAGTGACAAGAAAGCAATTCCCCATGATCAGAAAAGCATGAAAAATAGTTTAGTTGCTCTCAGGAATCATATAAAACTGATTTCATATTGCCAAATAGTGCACACCACTTCTGGGATAATTTGAAGTTGCATTTTAAAAATCATTTCCTTTTTTTAAAATCATTTCAATGTATTAGGATTTCTACAGTGGGAGATATTGAAAAATAGAGTGTAAGGTGTTTCATAAATAGTATGGCAATTTACTGAAGTCCAAAATTCTGTTGTTACTAAATTTCCTCAATTAAGTTTTACTCTCTCAATTAACTATAAGGCATTACAAGACATGATAAGCATGCTCTTCTCTACTCAGTCATCATGCTCACTATAAGGTACAGCACTGTCTTTGAATTTCAGAGTTTTCCTAAACTAGAATACAAACCACACGTGTTACTTTTCTATATAATCTGTGCATGTTAAAAGTAAATTCAAGGCCTGGAACAGTAGTCTAGTGGCTGGGCTCCTTGCTTCGCATGCACCAGGATCCCATATGGGTGCCAGTTGTAATCCCGACAGCTCCACTTCGCCTCCAGCTCCCTGCTTATGGCCCAAAAAAGCAGTGGAGGATGGCCCAAAGCCTGGAGACCCTACACCCATGTGTGATACTTATGAGAAGCTTCTGACTTCTGGCATTGAATCAGCTCAGCAACAGCCATTGTGGCAACATGGGGAGTGAACAAGTGGATGGAAGATCTTTCTCTCTTTGCCTCTCTGTAAATCTGACTTTCCAATAAAAACAAATCTTTTTTGTTGTTGTTGTTGTTGTCATTGTTAAAATAAACTCAGTTTTTCACACTAAACAAAAACGTACAAATAGGTGATTAATAGAAGCTTATAGTAGATAAAAAGCTCATTCATAAATATATTATCATAATAGTTACATGCAGCAGAATATTAATCCCTACTGTATTATAGAAGATTGTGAACATTAAGTTTCTTCCCATCCCACCCCTATTAATGTTGGATTATTTATATTCTTTTCCTCCTGATCAATACAAAAAAGGTGCTAATAAGACAGGTTAGATGCAAGTCCTCAAGGAGCCACATTTATGTTGGACAAAGCCAAGCTCCAGGTATCGAACCCCATCTAATTCTCCTCTTGCGTGCTATGGGTTTATGATTTAGACCCTGGCAGAGTCCATTCCCATGAGGCAGGATAAACCTTTTCTTTTTGACATCTGCATACCCAAGGGAACCACAACCTGAACTCAGTATTAATGAGACCTGGTCCTCCTTTCTTTTAATATACTTGACACATTAGAAGAAAAAACAAGTTAGAATTACAAGAGAAATCTAACTGCATGAAGCACCTTAGAATTTCTTCAACACTGACTTATATTCACTCTGCAGAGAGAGTTTGAAGCTAAAATATACCCTGTTGATAAATTTAGTAATGCCTGAGAATATCTTTAGTGTATACAATAGCCTTGTCAGTCCTAGAAGCAAAGGCTCAAAGGACAGGGCCAAATCAATGCTTCCTAGAACATGATCACATTAGTTAGGTAATATTAAAGCAGTTACTGTGCTTGTTAAGTATATTTTTAATGACAAAAGTGATACCAGAGTCAATTAAAATCAAAACCCATCATCAATGTTTTAGCATCTTTGAGGTCTCTTCTTAAACTGACATCTTAGAATGATATCTGAGAAGAAATGGATCTACTATAATAATTTATTTTTCATACAAGATGTTTCTGAAATCAACTCTGTCCAGAGTTGAGCACACACTTCAGTACCTCCCACCATGAAGCAGCTTTTCTGACCTTTTGTGGAAGCTGGGCAAGCGCTGATGCGATCACATTGGCCCTCTCTTCTGTCATTTTACTGACCATTGAACCCAGAGAAAACACCACGACTCCCTCCTCTCCAGAGCTCTGCACAAAATCTTCCATGTCCTGTGAAGAGAGAATTAGCTCCATGACAAAATAGCAACAGCAAGTCACACACTAATGAAAGGCTTGGTACAAATAAATGGAAGAATGTTGAGTGTGATTAGGAATGAGAGAGGAGCACCTGTGGAAAAAACATACAATGCAAAATTTGCCACTTCTCATTTTCTAGTGTACAGGGAATAGTATGAAATGCAATCACATTGTTGTGCTAGTCGTGTTGCAAAGTTATTTTCTACTTATTAAAACCTTAGTATGCAATGTTCCTTCTGTTATGTTTTAAAGAAATCCAATCCTAATGTACATTTCTTACTAATTACATGAAAAAAAATAAATCTTTGTTTTCTCTTTTGTTCCACCTATTTCAACAAAATGTTATTTTGGGCTAATTTAATGTTGTTTTTCCATGGTTGGTTTCATATTAGTGTCCTACTTAGCCAATGGTATAAGCTATCTTAAACTGTCACTTGTCACATGTGTTTCTTAAATAGTATCTAAAAATTTCATAATTTGTGAAAGATCAACATATTGTGTGGAATAAAGATGTTATTAACATTGAGTATGAAGATAAACTTTGAAATTACTAACTTGGATTCAAGCCTCATACTGACATCGTTATGATTATCATCATTATCTTATTACCTATACCTCTGGTTTCCTTGTTCTAAATGTCTTAATATTATTTCTCATAAAACTTTATTATGCTAAGTAAGAGAACATTTAACAGTAGGGTTGTTAGGAATCACACTTTCACAAGTATTGACTTGACTTTTAGACCTGTGAAAGTTATTGTACATAGTGTAAAAATTTATGATCAAAACAGATACCATGGTGTAATAGTTTCAGAAGACATTATGTGACTGTTATTTAGAAGGTGGATAAAAATACAGCTTAGCATATCATGCAATAGAGATATAAAGAATTCTTATTTTCTGCATAACTGAGAATTTCATGGAAAATGGTTCAAGGTTAAATTTATTTGATGTCAGGCTTACCTGTGACCTAGTCATAGTTTTCCCATGATCACCTTGAAGATTCATCACCTGCGTTTTAAGCTTTTTGACAAATATACTTTTTTTGTACATATAATGAATCCTTTTTCATAAAAATGAAATCCTTTACAGAAAGTAAATTAACATATGTAAGTTGGTTCCTGGTAAGAGAATGTGCTTCCAAATATAATAATAATAATTCCATTATTTTTACAAGTTTGCAAAAGCGGTTTCACCAGTCTTAAGTCAGAATCTGAGTGGGGATTCTGGTTTTTTCATTTTTTACTTCCTTACTATAAAATTAAAGCTTAGGGTAAGAAAGAAAAGAAAAAAAAATGTTACAAGATGTAGCGGTAGACTTGTTTACAAAGAGTGAATGAGCATATATTGCATTATGTCATATAATAAAATTTTCCAAATTGAAGCAACACACAGACCAGATAAGGCAAAAAAGAAGGAAAACTGTCTCCAACAAATTCTCTAGCACAAATTTCAAAGGTAAATACTGGGTAATTCACACATTATCAGAAACCTTTTATTCACATTTTACTGTAAATGAGTTGTTAATTACAATGGTTTGAGACACACAAATGAAGAGTAGGGGAAATTGTAACTTGATTGCTTACTTTCACAAGAAAAAACAGTGACCAAAACACATAAAATACATAATATAAATTTGGATTTCTTAGAGAAAAAAATTAGACTTTCAGTTATATTGAGTACATTCACTGAAACTAAACATATCCTAGCTATTTAGATGCCAAATATTGAAATGTAGAAACATATTTGTTTATATATTTTCAAAAATAGCAAATAAACCTTTTGCTCCATTTTCATCAACTTTTGAAGCATGGTGTGTGCACCTTAAAATGCAATATGAATTTAACACATATTTAGTTTTTGTATTTCTTCATAAATATGTCATTCTAAAAGCTTTAGTAACTGTAAAGTGAAAGGCCTTTCTCAGACACAACATGTAAGAATGATAAGTTCTTCATTTCAAATGCATTGAGCATTTTCTCTGTATTCATTTTCAGACAGCTATAAGACTGAAACCAAATTCCCCAAGGTGGCATTCATTACTGCTGTGTCCACTCTCAGTATTAAGCAGAAAGAGCAGCTCTGTAGTGAAGCCACCACTGCTACTCTCTTGGCTCTCAGTCCTGTGAATCTCATGTGCAATGAGGTAATGCTATGGTGAGAGCAAGTGAGTTTGGCTGTAAATCTTGTGGGAGCACATAATTACATTGTTGAGAAATGACTTTCCTTTTAAGTTAGAATATTACTGAGGAGCCTCCGCATGTATAGTAAAACTCAACACTGGGTCGGATCTTGTTCATCTTATTGCCAAAGCCTGTATGTTTAATTTTAATTGACTCGGTAGCATTTCTGTTTTCTAAGATTTTTTTTTAACTATTTGTTTTGTTGGAAAATCAGAATCACAGAGACGAAACAGAAAGATGGCCACAATGCATGGAGCTGACTCAAGCCCAAGCCAAAACCAGCTGCCAGTAAACATGAGCTTGTTCCTGGTCTCTCATGTGGATTCTGGATCCCAAGGCCTTGGGCTGTCTTAGACTGCTTCCTGAGGCTACAAGCAGGGAGCTGGATGGCAAGTGGAACAGCAGGGACACGGACTGGTGCCTGTATGGGATCCTGGTACATGCAAGGCAAGGACTTTAGCCACTAGGCTCCTGCACCTGGCCCTTTTATCACTTTATAAAAAAATAATTTTAATCTATTGGAAATCCAGGTCAGAAGAATCAAGATGGCTGAATAGGCTAAGCGTACATTTAAACAGATGAAGAAATTTAAGCCAGTGTGAAATAAAGAGGGAAGATTTCAGGAAAGAGAAGAGAACAACAGCACTGGCAGCTGGCACTTCACCAGCAACCAGGTGAGAAGGGATATCTACCGGGAGTTCAGGCAGTGCACCCAGACAAAGAAGTGCCTGTCTTGCTGGTCTGTTTGATTTGACCAGGTTTAGAGACAGAGCAGCAGATCCCAGACGAGCAGTGCGGGAACAGGGTGGATTTCACCACCTAGTCCACTACTCAGAGCCAGTCAGGCACCATTTTGTTTTAGGAGGCAAGTGCTATGGACAGTGGTGAGAATGCACTGAATTGGGAATGAACTCATTTCTGGCTCAGTGAATTTCAGCAACATGGCATCCTACAGGTTTCACCCAAGACAGGTCTGGGTAGCCATCAGGCCTGATGGCCATCAGATCAAGAACTCTAGTAGTGGCACATCAGGTGCTATTTTGTACGAGGTAGAAAAGAATTTGAGACTCAAGGACAACAAAGAGCTGTGCATGCAATGAGCTTGATGAGGACTCACTGAGCTCAGTGCATTGCACAGGTCACTCAGGAAAATAATTCTGACTATGCCATTGTGCAGGTCAAAATAGGTCTGTGTGGCCCTCAGACCTAATGGCCAACAGGTACTGGCAAGATCAGCACCACCAACAACCTAGCTAAATAGGACATCTGGTGTCTCCCTAATCCTGGGACCTGCTCCAACTGGAAGAGGGAGAAAAATTATGCAGACAACAGTGCAGCCTCTGCAAGGTATCACATGAACTAGAGACTGGTGAGCCAGGAGGTGGGGCTATGGAAACCATGGTGGAAAATAACATAAGAACCCAGACCAGGAATTTGCTGGAGGGAGTGGCACAGCTGACTGCAAACAAACAGCCGTGTAACAACTGCAATAAGTATAATCGAACTGTAGACCTTTGGGTGACAGAGTAGAAACCTGTCCCAAGAAGAGGAATCTGCTAACCAGAACACCAATAATCAGAGCAAAAGGAGACACAAGGGCACAATGGGTATTAGTGAAGACCCCAGCAAAGCAACCAATGCTTTACTAACCTCAGAGTTCACTCAGGAAGACATTGAGAAAATGGGGGATACAGAATTCAAAACACTTGTTACAAAACTTCTTATCAACAATGAGAAGCACAAAAAGGAGACATTCAAGGATTTTAAGGAATATGTCACACTGGGAATGAATCAAATGAAAGCTAGTATTTCAGAAATGAAGAATACAGTGGAGCAAATGATAAGTTAGAGTGGAGAGTCTCCAAGATAGAATGAAGGAGGCAGAAGAAAGAATCTCAAAAATAGAAGACATTTCTTTCTAGCAGGGAGAAGCAAACAAAAAGCTGGAAGCAGATCTGCGTCAAGCTAAAAAAAAAGTATTCAAGAATTGAAAGAGACTATTAAAAGGTTAAACATAAGAGTTATGGGAGTCCCAGAAGGTGCAGAAAGAGAAGCTGGGTTTATAAATGTATTTAATGAAATAATAAGGGAAAACATTCCTGATTTGGAGAAAGAGTTGGGAAACAACATCCAAGAGGGGCACAGAACTCACAACAGGATTGATCAAAAGTGATCTTCAACACGACACATGATCATCAAGCTCTCTTCAATAGAACATACAGAAATGATCCATAAATGTGCTTGAGAAAAAAATAATTGACATAAGAAGAATGCCAATTAAACTCACAGGAGACCTTTCACAGGACACTCTACAGGCCAGGGAGAATGGAGCAACATATTCCAGATTCTAAAAGCAAAAAATTGTCGGCCCAGGATAGCCTTTCCAGCAAAAGTTCCTTTGTCTTTGAAAATGAATTGAAATTCTTCCACAGTAAAGAAAAGGTAAAAGAATATGCTGCTTCCAAACATCCTAGAAATGAGAATTAAAGATGTTCTCTTGACAGAGAAAAGGACCAGCATCCACCAAAACCAAAGGCAAATGCAAACAATATCCCACTAAAATAACAGCAGAAGACTAAATTAATGAGTAACCCGTTGCTAAAGTGACAGGACCAAATTACCACCCATTTATACCAACCTGAATGTAAAATGGCTTAAACTCATCAATCAAACTTCATAGAGTAGTAGACTGGTTTAAAAATCAAAACCCATCTATTTGTTGCCTACAGGAGACACATTTCACCAACAAATATCAGTGTAAACTACATATCCTGGATTTTGATTTTTTTTGTTACTTTTAGTTCTCAAAACACTTTCTTCTGATTAACTTCTTCAATGACTCATAGATCATACAGTAGCATCATTTTCTTCAAGAAGACTCTTGATTTTCCTTTTCATTTCTTCAGTGACATGTTAGTTATTCTGTAGCATGTTATTTAACTTCATGGTGTTATTAATTTCTTCTTTCTTTCTTCCTGTTGTTGATTATGTCTTGTGGCTTTTCGTGTAGGGGGATGTATAGTAACTGTGTGATGGAGACTATCAATCTAGCAGCATGTTATTGAACTACATGGCATTGTAAATTTCTTTTTTCCTTCCTGTCATTGATTTTTTTTCTTGTGGGTTTTCATTTAAGGGGGTGTATAGTAACTGTGTAATGGAGACTATCATATTCAGATGTGAGAATACAATGCACTATACATCTCTATTTCCAGACAAAGATGGACACCCCAGTGAAACTGTTTACTATATCTTGAGAATAGGATGCTGGACTCTCTGCCATTGTCCACGCACACAATGATGGACATATGACTGTGTATGAGGTGCTGTACAATAGTAAATAAATGGGGAACATAGATGGGGGGGAGGGAATTGATAAGGGGATAAGGGAAATCCCAGGGCCTATGGAACTGTATAATAAGATGAAAAGAAAAAGAAGCTAAAAAAAAATAATCCATGTCCTATTAAATAAAGGTGTACCTAAGTAGTTTGGCACATTTGATGTTACTAGTACCACTAAAATAACACCACAAATGTCAGCAAGGTCAACAGTTAACATCAATTCTGAATAGCTACATTACAAACATTATTTATTTTATTTTATCTGAAAGAAAAATTATATATATTTATAGAATACCACATGTTATTTTGTAACATAAAAACATTATATAATGTGCCAATCTGGGTAAACAGGTCTCCCCTGAAATTTTTCTTTTCTTCAGGATTTTTTTTAAAGAAATATTTTTGTACAGATAGTCTGAATTACCCCACTATCCATGGAGTTCTTGCTCTTCTTTAACTATAAGATAGTACTTGATCATCATTTTTATCCTCTGTCACAGTGCCAGAATCTCCCACTTCAGGTAACCCCCAGTCTGCCTTTAACTGGTATGGGATCAGCATTTCTAAATTGTACATATAGGTTTCATCATAAGATATTTGTTTTAATGTGACAGTAGCTTCCACACATACATGTTTCTGAAAATGACAAGATTCCACCCTTCTTTAGTTCTCACGAGTGTTCTGTGTATGTGTATCATATTTTCATTGGATGAACACACAGGTTATATCTATTTCTTGGATAACTGAAAAGTGTACCAGTGCAAATAAGTTCAGACACATGGTAATAATTCCATACTGGTTTCAAAGATATGTTCCTTTTTCAGTTTTAGTTTGTCCTTGTTGTTGTTGTTATTTACTTTTCCCACAAAGCACAACAAGAGATAATGTCATGTCAATGATTACTAAAATTTATTTATCTGTCAACTGTGCCTGAACTCCCTGTCTTTTAAGGATGTATCTATGTACTTAAAAATCGGAGTTACAGAGAAAGAGGGAAAGATAAATATTTGTCTTCTATCTGCTGGCTCACTTCTGAAATGGTGCAATAGTCAGGCTAGCCTAAGGTGAAAGCAGAAGCTATAGTATTGAACAGAAACTCAACAGGATCTCCCATGTGCTTGGCAAGGGATCAAACAGTTAGGCCAGCATCCATGGCCTTCTCAGGCCAATGCTGGGTAAATGAGCAGAAAGTGGTGGTGCAATTGATCTGATGCAAGAAAGTGATACGGCATTGCAGACAATGTCTTAACTTTTGTCAGTTCAATACTAGCCCTTGTCCCTGAACCTCTACAACAACCCCCAAAGGATCCCTCTGTCCATAGTCTTGGTTGAATGTAGATGAACCAAGGCTCTGCATCTTGAAGGCTTATTTGATAACTCTGATTAGAATACAAGTGGATATTTCATAACAATAATTTCCTCATTTGGTCTTAACTCTCCCCAGCTCATCTTTACTCAAGACTTTCCTTTATCAGGGCTTATAACTTCCTTTTTGCCTCTAAAATATTCAGCCTTTATATTCAATTTCATTTTCTTATACTGAACTCTATCTTCCTTCTTTTCCTGGCAAGAGGGCCCTTGGGTAGCCCAGAAATTCTCAATGACAGAAAAATCAGATACTTGTATTGTATAGAAAGAAATATGATTCTAAATGGCAAGCCAGTATATCTCACTTTCCACAACACTGCCTTCCTGTAATTAAAATATGCTAAAGATGCAATGCATGGACATTTCCAATGAAATGGACAATAAACACAGTAAAGGAAACAGAAACTTACTTACCTTGGGCAGCGGTTTGGCAGGTTTACAGTGGAGGCCTCCAACAAAATGGACATTTGGCAAGGTGGGACGAGGAAATTCCAAGTCCCAATAGCTTCGAATGAGCCACATGTCAGCTTTTGCCACCAGCTCATACAATGTAACGGGTCTTCCTGCAAAGTGAAAGGAAAAGGAAAGAGAATGGTCACGTAAAGTGTATCATGTCATGCTCTTAGAGCTTTTGAAGTGAAGCAATTGATATGCAAATGCCTGTGAATCCATAAAACAAATATGTTTATTTTGAAAAATTTGATTCATGAGTACAATTTACACAATCATACACACATACACACTTGAGTGTTGGAGATCTCTTCATCTGCTTGTTCATTTCCAAAGTGGTTAAAACAGACTAGGTGAGGCTACTTGAAAGCCAGGAGTTCCATCGAGGTTAGTGGAACAGAGACACAAGCCTCAGTCATTCTGGTTCAACAGCCATTAGAACTCTCAGGTACCAACAGCATCCCTAGGGCTTCTTGAACTGTATTTCAAGGCTGGCCTGGTCCTTGCCTTATATTGTTCCACACCTGCTCCTTTGAATATCTGCCCAACAATCCAGACCCTTCGAGCAAGGCCTCCCTATTTGACATGACCATGAAAAGATACCGCAGTTCCAACTCTCCAGTATCTCAACACCCAAAGCTACAAATGATCTTGTCTGCTGAAGAACATGGCATCTGCCACAGAGTCCCTCATCTACACAGCAGCAGTTGTCCACCCTCGGAGAAGTTATTAACCTTTAATAAATTCAACTGGGCTGTGAATTGACACCCCATTTCCTCTCTGTTCTGTGTCTTTTTACCAAAAGGTTTGCAAATAGATGGTAGAGACTCAATTCCTTGGATAACCTGTACTACTTTTTAGGCATATAGATTGAAACTTAAGGCAGTCATTCTAATGGGAGTACAAGTGTTACAAGTGGTTGCTTAACTCAGTCTACTATACCATTTGCTCCAAACTCTTGAGTTTTTAAAGGATGTGTTGGAATTCCATGATTTTACTGCTGTTTTTACCTTACAATAGAAGCAGACTAATACTTATTTATACATAAATATATACACAGAATATATCAATATATAGTATAACTGTCACTTCAAGGATTTTCATAAATAATAAAAATATATATTTGTCTTCACCCTTATTTTAAGGGTGTTATTTAAGTCAAGAAAGACAATTTTCAAAAAGTTGAGACTGCCAGATAAGTGTTAACTTAGCAGTTTTCTCTGTTTCTCAAATCATTGGACTAGAACATGTAACACTTTGACCTTCATAGCTATATTCAGTTGGGAAGCATCACCTACCTTAGCTATACTGTGACAGATGTTTGATAAAATGGACATGTAATTCCTTAGCGAAATGCTCAGTGCTTCATTTGCATTTGGAATGCTCTATCCTAGGTATGGGCCACTGAGCAAGGCCTCCCTATTTGACATGACCATGAAAAGATACCGCAGTTCCAACTCTCCAGTATCTCAGCACCCAAAGCTACAAATGATCTTGTCTGCTGAAGAACATGGCATCTGCCATAGAGTCCCTCATCTACACAGCAGCAACTGAAACTTTAATGTAAAATTTACATTAATGTAAAGCCTTTGCATAATATAGGATAGATTCTTAGATGATTGTATCTTTTTATTTTATTTCAACCAATAAGTGGCTAATTGATCTGTTTTCTCATTCATGCAAGATCAGCTTCAAAGTCATAGGAAAGTTAGATTTCTGTGAGGCGTAGGGGCAAAGAGGTTGTTAATCACTAAGATGGCGACTAAGTCCAGGTCACTGGCTGGCACGATGGCTGCCATGGACAGAGCCCTGAGCATGAACCATGGCTGGAGTCATGTACCTCCTAGGAAATACTGATTAACTACGGGCATCTTGTTCACATAACCCTGGCCTGTGGGAGGTGGATTTTGCAGTCATGCTCCTAGTAATTGGCTCCTAGTTTCTCCCCTCCTGGAATTTCCAAAATTCCCAGCTTGAGGCTATTCCTTACCCTATATAAGAAATTGAATTTCCTCAACAAATCAGAACTTCTTAGACAGAACCCCTTTCGGTCTGTTTTCTCCCGTGGGCCAGGAGGCTGGGTGACGGGCAGCAGGCTCATCACCTCCGGCAACCGGGTACTAAGGGAATCTGTGGGGGAGGCCTCCACATTGCCAATGAAAACCATGACTTACCTAATACTTCACTGCAAAACTGGTTCCATCTCTTCTCATTAAATACTTGAATCCAAAAGTCAAAATAAAGCATGAACAGCATATTTTTAACCCTCTCCATGAATGTCATTCTGCCACTTAAATCAGACAGAATGATAGGGACATAGGAAGGAGGCAATGAAAGTCCTCCATTGTACTTTTCCACAGTGTAACCAGGAGTGAAGCGAACACTCTGCACAAATGGGATTTTAAGTAGCTCTGCCAACAGTTCACCACATGGACTAATCGGATCTGACAGAAGAATATCAAACTTTGATTCTTGTAGCTTTGTCATGAGTTTCTTGTTCAAAACTGCTGCTTTACAGAGATCTTTACAAGTATTAGAATATTCTGAAAAGATTTTTTGCAATGCTAGAAGATATTCCCAATATGAGTCCTGCAGTGCATTTGTCCACATATCAACAAGTTGTATGAAAAACATATCCAGGTCATTTTTAGTGATGTCAATAGGAAAAGTTTCAAATTTGATAGCAGTTGTTTTGCCAGAGTCAACGAAAATTGAAGCGTTATGGTTCAGAACGATCACCTCATGACCTCTCCGGACAAGTTCCTCTAGGATTACATTTAAGTTCATCCAGTGACTGTACTCCATAGGCCACACCAGCACCTTTCCACAACTCCCAGATGTGAAGCAAGCGCTCAGCTGTAGCAGCAGCAGCAGAACTGAAACGTGTTTCAGGGACATTCTGGTGAAGTCACTGCTTCTTCTCCAAGTGCTGTCCCTTTTTGGGGCTCTTCATGCTTATATTTATAAACAAACTTAAAGTTAAAGTATAACTTTTACTAGTCCAAGTAATTAATTGATATGAATGTTAGGGCTATGGGCTGGGATGGCAGGAGAATAAGTTGTGAAAAAATGATCTTATATTTATGTGAGTAAGTAGGTTTTTATCTTTGCAACAAGTATTTTTACCTAAGTAGGATCTGCAGCCACATGTGGGAGAGACTCCTGGCTACACTATGGAAAAGGATACTACATTATTGCTTCTTTCTTCTGTCTCTATAATTCTGTCTAACTTAAGTGTTCAAGTGACATTTATGGAGAGGGTAAAAAATACACTGTTCATGCTTTATTTTCACTTTTGTTTTAACTATTGAATGTAACGAGATGGGACTGATTTTATTGTGAAGTACTAGCTAAGTCGTGTTTTTCATTGATAATGTAGGGGGCTCACTTTGCATAACTTTGAAGCTAAGCTTGCATGAATGTTAGAGCAGATATTTAGACTTTTATAGGCCAAAAAAAAAAAGAAAATATACCATGATTTATGAATATTTCAGATGTTATGGAAAGGTTTTCCATTAATGTCAAGGCATACATTAAGGGTTCAGTTAGAATTCAGTGGGCCATAATAGGGCCACAAATGAAGGATTGAGCAGCTCTCTAAGGAAATCCACGTCCACTTTTAATAGTGCCAAGAGCAGTGACAAATGAGAGGATACAGCATGAAACAAAGGTGGAAGTAATGTAACTATATGACTTTTCCATATTTCTTGCATTGTGTGGAAGTATCTTTAAATTGGATAAAATGTAATTTATGTGTAAAAAAAAATTAAACTCACCAGCTCAAAGTGCACAGTTCTGTGTCATACTACATATTCATATCAATCTATAACCACCATCACTATCAGCTTATAATATTTGATTATATTTTTTAAAAAGCCCTGGGGACAAGCATTTTGTACAGAAATTTAGACACGACTTGACACCCCACATCCTGTGTCGTATTTCCTGGTTCAAGCACTGGCTTTGGTTTGATCCAGCTTCCTGCTAAAGCATACCTTCGGAACAAGCGTGTGATGTTTCATAGGGTTGAGTTTCTCACACTCATGTGGGAGACTGAGATTCATTTCCCAAGTCTTTGCCTTGGCCAACCCAAAATTCATTGTTTTTGGCATCTGGAGAGTGAAAAAATGCATGGAAGTTTTATTACTCTGTTTTTCAATCAAAGTCAAAATGAAGTTTAAAGGACCTTACTAACAGAATACTTTTGCACCCTCTATTTTGGTCTTCCACATTATTCCTACTTCTGATTACACCAGGACTAAGAAGGTAATAGTTTATTTTGTCTTTGCACAGTTATTGTTTGTAGGTATTTTTGGTACATAAAATTAAATAACGTTTGAGATAGAGATAGTGGCATTCACCCTCTGAGTGATTTCCCTAATGCAGGAGGAGGTCTTTAACCACTGCCAGCATGGAACCATGAACCTAGGAGTGAATCTGAAAAATGACAGGTTTGTAGCTGGATATACATTATGTTACAACTAAAGCTGTGTTAGGGCACTGGCTAGATGGTGAAGGGGCAGCTTTCTAAATGTGACCTGTCTGTGCTTCAGCCAGTGTAATAGCATGGCTTTGTGGAATTACTCCAAGAATGGAGGAGTAATAACTTCAACCTGGCTGAAAGGGATTATAACAAATAGCATAACTCTCAACCAGTAGTAGTGTGCAGAAGAAGTCGTATGGTCTAGGCAACATCTAAGTACATTGCAGTTTCCATGACACTCGCCTAAGTAGGGAGAAAGTGAGTGGGTCATATCTAACTGCCACAGGCTCTCACTGTTTTTATGAGCATTTTGACACGTGTCATTTTTCTATTTGCTGTATGTCCTTGGGAAAATTCAAACACCTATCCAATGATGTGTTTTTCAATAACTGCTAGTAGTTATTCTTATTTTATCTGGGAGCTGGTTTATGGAGATGCACCTGCTACTATATGAAATGTGGCTGTTTCACTTTTTCTTGTCAAATTTCTCTCTGCTACACAGACTTAGGCCTTTACAGGTGTTGAAACTTTTCATATTTTTTGCAAAGTTTGTGATCATTTATAATGAAGATATAAAATAGATGAAGTAACAAGAGGTTTCAAGTTGACTTAATTGGTAGTATGCCAAATTGAGTTCAAATATTCTCAGTGATACTCACTGACTGATTATATAGAACTTTATAGAACTTACTCTGTTACAGAATGTCTTTGAAAAACAACACAACCAGCTCTTCTAAGCCAACAGGGGATTTCACAAACCTCATCAAAAGATGGAAAGCACAACAAGTTGAACAACACTTGGGCCAAACTTTGCAGTAAGCACGTAGGTCTGCAGATACTAGTCAGCCAGTAGACCTTAGATTCTCTTCTCTCTGGTGCAACAAAGTTGACAACTTCTCAGAACTATCAAGACCACACAAGCAACATCCTTGCAACATTCTTTCCCACACTGAGATCTCTAAGGCAACAGCAAAACCATCTCCATCCCCTGACAGTGATAAGTTTGACAACAGGGGAACCCCTCCCCCTTCACTGTCTCCCACTGCAGGTCCAGGTGAATAAACAGTTGAAACACATATCTTACCTACCTTCCTCTACACCTTGACTCTTCCTAGTCTAATCAGAGGCCCATATGGGTATGCAACTCTCTCACTACATAATTTTAAAAAATACAAAAAGAAATCATGTGTCTATTTCATCAAGTAATTTCCATTGGATTCATTTAATATAGATTTAAATTGTCCCTCTTGACCAACTACACATTGTAGAGCAATGCTGGGTAAGTAAACCAAGTAGATAAGTAGCCTCTGGACAATGTTACCATAAACGCCTGTTTATCCTATGTTACAATTTTGAAAGTGATATGTAAAGTGCACTTACACTTAAGGATAGAAACCCTAGGGTTTCTGTTTTTGCTTTAGAGTTGGATATACATGCTGAAGTTTGCAGCTGATATAAATAATTGAGACAATATTAGGAAAAAATTGGTGGTGAAAACAGGAATATTTATCAAGGAAATTTCTGTCATTTATGAAGACATAAATTCAATGTAACATATATGTTGCATTGTCTCATATGATCGTGCTAATCATCCTTAAAAGCTAAAGGTGAATCTTTACATTTATTATAAACATGTTTGTTCATGATTTTATAAGAACAAATATGTCAATTAAGCAACTTCATATTGATGCAATTAATTTTCAAATTGAAGCAAGATATAATCTAGGAGTGAGGAGATTCATCAAAGTCTCCCACGTGGGTACAGTTTTGCAAGATTCTTGACTGCTTTTGTGGCTGCTTTCCAGGCCATGGTCAGGAAGACTGGTTGAAGATGGAGAAGCCAGAACTCAGACTAGTGTCCTTGTGTAATGCTAGCATTGCATGCAACAGCCTAACAAGCTACACTACAGCGCTGGGCTAGTATTTGACTTTTTAAAACAGATTTGATTTAGGGAAGTTTTAAATTTACAAAGCAAATATTGTGAAGAAGTACAAAATATCTCATATAACTCATTCCCACTTTTCTGATTGCTGTTTTTATCAATAATATTAACATCATATATATTAATAAATCATCTAACACAATTTATCACATATAAATTGCCATAGTTAAAATTTGTTAATAGTTAATTGTTTAGTATTTATTTTATTTATTACATGTAATATATAAAACAAAATATATAAACAATCTATTTAAATATATGAAAAGAATATTACATACAGATAATATATATGACAAGACATATATAAATCCAAATCCACACTGTGTTTCCACTATTATTAACATCACATATTAGTATAAGATATTGATATGGGGCACACCATATAAAAGACTACCAAAGCCATTTTAGAATTTGGAGAGTGGGGCCCGGCGCGGTGGCGCAAGTGGTTAAGTCCTCGCCTTGCACGCCCGGGATCCCATATGGGCGCCGGTTCTAATCCCGGCAGCCCCGCTTCCCTTCCAGCTCCCTGCCTGTGGCCCGGGAAAGCAGTTGAGGACGGCCCAAAGCTTTGGGACCCTGCACCCACGTGGGAGACCTGGAAGAGGCTCCTGGCTTCGGATCGGCATAGTATCGGCCCGTTGCGGCTCACTTGGGGAGTGAATCATCGGACGGAAGATCTTCCTCTCTGTCTCTCCTCTCTGTATATCCGCCTTTCCAATGAAAAAATAATAAAAATAAATCTTTAAAAAAAAAAAAAAAAGAATTTGGAGAGTGTTATTCACCAGCTGGTGATTGTGTCACAAAATCAAGACTGTTTGCTCAGTTTTATTTGTGTGTACACACAGGTATGTATTTATTTACTGTGTCCTGTCATTTCATTCATTCACGTGCTTCAGAAGTTCACTGGCCTTTGATTGTCCCTTTATATTTAAAAATGTGGAAACAGAATGACTCAGCATTGTATCTGTGTATCTTGGAAAGATATGGCAACAGATGGACCTTGTTTTTCACACAGAGCTCAATATTATTTTACCTAAAGTGAGCCCTGAATATTAAAATGAGAAAAATCTTTTTTTGGAGAATTTATTGCAATGTTTTTAGAGGAAAGCTCCTATTTTTTTAAAGGAGATATAATAATGGAGTTGTAAAGAATGCAGGAAGGTTTAAATCAGATTTTTCAATTCTATCTCACAATTTTCCTATTCCTATTTCTTCTCTTCCTTCTTTTACCCTTTCCTCTTTGTTTTTTTTGTTTCTTTCTTTCTCTCTTCTTTTCTTTCTCTCTCTTCCTTCCTTCCTTCCTTCCTTTTTTCTCATTCTTTCGGTGATCTTGTCTAATCCTTAATGTACATTTGCTCAGTATTTCTTTCGTGCTCATATTAAAAGTATTTTTGTCAAATACATTGCAGAACTTATCTTCTCATTCCATCATTTTTAAAAGCACACAATATTTAAACTGTTCAGTAATTGTATTATTATCTCTGATAACCTGTGTAAAATAAT